AAATTAATATTTTATTGTAGAATGTTGTTGAATATTCTGTGCTATGAATTGTAAAGCCAGATAACCAAGATAAATAAGTCACTTGTAAACAATTGTGATCATGAGTTTGTTATAATGAAATAAGTGAAGCTTCCCTGATTTAAGGTTTCAATAATGTTTTCAAAGCAAACCATTGACATCAAAAAGTTTAAATTTAAATTTTTATCTTCAAAGCCATAGCAAAACAGCACAAAAATAATCAGGTTGATTGACACCCATTTTGTCTGATTTGAAGAAGGTGGGGGGGCCAAATTCACTCAGGTGTATTTTTATCCTCTTAAAGTAAACAGTGCAGTTAAACTGCATCATGTCTGTAATTTAAATGCAGAGCCTGGCAGCATTAACTGAATCATGATAACCTTGTTGTTGTTGCTCAGACAACCAGAGCTGCTCCGGTTTCCCGCGGCGCTCCGGCTCGTGTTGATCCGTGTTTAGAAGCGACATGCTGACAGTCGGGAGACGTTCCCGTTGCTGTCAGGAAGGTTTTGACGCTCGCACCGCCGCTGGAGGCCCTTCAGCCTGACGGGGCTAAAAATGGCCGCCGCCTCACATCTCCTCTCACCAACACGAGCAGAACGAGGTGACGCTTCGCCCCGACGCGGCCCTGTTTACAACCTACTGAGCCGAGTGACACCTGAACGCCTCGCCCCTCCCCCTCCTGTTGCTGCATCACAGATTGTTACAACAAACTGATGAGAAATCAGGTTTAACACGGAAATGTTAAGTTTAGTCCGCTAAGGAAAACTCCTGAAACCAGAGGAGGACAGAACATTATTACCTAGTAGAGCAGCGTCACTGTAACATGTTTAAATATCCACCAGGAAATGACTGTAATCTGATAAAACTCTACTGAAGTAACTGATCAAATGATCAATCATTTAATATTTACATCATCAGACGGACAGAAATATAAAGTTAAGTGGAAATTTTTATATTTTAAGGACGAAAATGACAATAATCGATATAAATAACAAAATCAGGCAAAATAAATTTTTCCAAATCAGTTTCTTTCAATAAAAACTTTTGAAACTTTAACAGAAACTGCAGGTTTGTCTCCAGGCTCTAAGCCCCGCCTCCTGGCTCTGATTGGCTGCTTGTCGTTGGCACTGGGAAAAAGCAGAGGAGCTTAATTTATACTGGTTTCAATAAAATATTAATAAAGAGCAGCTTTAGCAGAAATAAACCTTCCTTACCTCCTTCTCTGGCGCGGCAGCCATTTTATTTGTTTGTGTTAGTGAACGCTGTCCTCTGATTGGCCGCTTGTTTGTCGCAGTTCCTCCTCAGTTCCTGAACTACCCGACCAACAGCTACGCCTACGAGGCGACCGACATCGAGCTGGAGTGCGCCGTGACGGGGAACCCTCTACCGACCGTCCGCTGGATGAAGAACGGAGAGGAGGTCATTCCCAGCGACTACTTCCAGATCGTAGTGAGTTCCCTCTAGGTTCCCTCCTGGTTCCCTCCATGTTCCCTCCTGGTTCCTTCTAGGTTCCCTCCTGGTTCCTTCTAGGTTCCCTCCTGGTTCCCTCTATGTTCCCTCTATGTTCCCTCCTGGTTCCCTCCAGGTTCCTTCTAGGTTTCCTCCAGGTTCCCTCCAGGTTCCCTCCAGGTTCCCCCCTGGTTCCCTCTAGGTTCCCTCCTGGTTCCCTCCTGGTTTCCTCCAGGTTCCCTCTAGGTTCCCTCTAGGTTCCCCCCTGGTTCCCTCTAGGTTCCCTCCAGGTTCCCTCCAGGTTCCCTCCAGGTTCCCTCTAGGTTCCCTCTAGGTTCCCTCGAGGTTCTCTCCAGGTTCCCTCCAGGTACCCTCTAGGTTCCCTCCAGGTTCCCTCTAATGTATTTTTATGAAAAGGATAAAATAAAGAAAAATATTAAAATACAAATTCCCTACAAACTATGACTAATATCCACCAGGAAATTACTGTATAATCTGATACATTATGTTGGTATTTCTGTAAGAGGTCAAATAAAAAGGCCAAATACCAAAAATAAAAAAATCCTCAGAATATTCAATGTTTTTACATTTTACTGTAAAACATGAAAATAAAGAGAAATGAAATTACATTTGAAAACTCATTACTTAATTTCTGTAAAATAATCCAAACCTGATTAAAAACAAAACAAAGTTTTCCTGTGTGTCAAACCCGGTTTATGTTTCCCATCCATAAATGTGGAGCTGCAGGTTTATCGTACATAAAGAATATTTTTAACTAGTGGAAACAGAAACATGTGAAACTCTGGAGTGTTTAAAAATGTTTGGGAGGAGAGAAAAACAGATTTGACGTTTTTATTCCATCAGCAGAAACAACTGAAGCAGCTTTAAAACGAAAGACGGGAAGAAACGTGATTTTATTTTTCTGTTTCAGGACGGAACCAACCTGCAGATTCTGGGTTTGGTGAAATCAGACGAAGGATTTTATCAGTGTGTGGCTGAAAACTCAGCAGGCAGCGCTCAGGCCATGGCCCAGCTGCTGCTCAGAGAGCCAGGTAGGACACACACACACACACACACACACACACACACCTGACCCAACCGGCCTTCACCTCCATCACTTCATTATTTATAAAGTTATCATTCATTTTCAGTCTTTGTTTCTCTCGCCGTGTAAAAGATGCCCGACATTCTGACGGTTCCTGAAGGGACAGTTTTTTAAATAATCTGGAAAATCCTGGACCAGTGGAGGTATTTAGTGACTCCCAGTTGGTTTCAGGATCTGATTCAAGCTAACAGACGTTAGCCGTGTTTTTCTTTGTGTTTGTTTTCATCTTGAAGTGTCGCTTTAGAAAAAGTTGATGAAAACAGCAAAATTCAAAATAACTTCCTTAATTTCACTTAGCAGCTTTCGGAGAAATGGAAACTCTCCCATCCACTGCTGGGTCTCTGCCTTACCAGAGGCTCCAAACTGCTGGTCAGCATCTTCATGTTTCTTACCGTCACGCGTAGCGTCGCCATCTGATGACATCACGTTGATTGGTTAAGCCGGTAGATGGAAACACGCCTGATGATTCATTTTTTGTTTCTTTTTCTTTTTTGTGACATTTTGAAAGCTGAAGTTCGAGCCTCCAGCTCGGAGGCGAGCATCTCGTTAACGCCACAAAAGCAGGTCATAATTTGGGCAAAAATACTCTTTCAATCTATCATAATTATTCTGTTAGCTCTTGGAAAGTTCTGGAAAGTATCCTTAAAGCTTATAGAAAGTAACTGTCCACTTCTGAGAAGATAATGTTAAGGGATGTTTTATGTACTTGTACAAAAAAACCCCAAAGAAAGTTCAGGACAGTAACATGAAAAGTCTCTAACACTTATGGAAAACTACTTTTTCTGCATCTGGCCTGTAGGAAAGAGTTAGAAAGTATCATATTGGTTTTATAATAGTACATCCAAGAAAAATATCCTTAAAGTTTAGAGAAAATAACTGTTTACCTCTGAGTAAGTTCAGGGAAAGTGAATGAAAGTATAGCTGAAGAGAGCGTAGCCTTGAAGTTCTTTGAAGGTATCCTTATAAATTACTGTGTAAGGTCATGAAAAGTTCCTTGAAGGTTCTGGAGAGTTTCTGGAAGTCTACAGAAAATAACAGTGTACTTCTGAGAATGTAATGTGTATGTTTAGGGAAACTATTCTGTATTTCTACTAAAATACTCTGCAAGTTCAGGGAAAGTATCATAAAAATAAATGAAAGTACTTCACAGTTTCAGGGAAAATAACTTGCAGGTTCTTTGAAAACGCCTCGATGGCACCTCAACGTAACCTGCAAGTTCGGCAGAAAGTATTGTTTAAATTTACGGAAATCATTCTGAAAGTTCATGGAAGGTTCCTTCAAGGTTCTGAAAGTACGTTACAGAAAACAAAGGTAAGCATGTGGTAAAGTCACAGAAAGCATCACTGGCGGATCGTCAGCCGGTAGACGGAGCGTCTGAACGCGCCAAGCTGCGCCGCCTTACATCAGACGGCGTATTTCAGCCATATTTGCCTCCATGTCTGCCTCCATGTCTTCCCCGCTCTGGGATCCTTGTTTGGTCTTTGAAGGCAGCTTCCTGTTTGATCCTTTCTCGTCTCTGCAGCTTCATGCTAATCAGATTAGCGTCGCAGCCGAGCCGGCAGCCGGCTCGCCGGGTTTTGGCAGCGCCGCTGTTTGTTGCTGTTAGCTGTGTTTGGGTTAAAGCCCGGTTAGCCGTGTTGGGTGACAGCGGATACCGCCGTCTGGCCCGGCGCTCACGCAGAACTGCCGAGTCAGCACAAATCTGCCCGCCTGACCGACGAGAGTTTGGAGGATTTTATTCTCCTCCGGACCTCAGAGACGAGATCTGGAGGATTTTAAACTATAACGGCGACGAAGAGCAGGAAGAGAAATATTTGGAGAACCTCCTGTTCCTCAAAGTGTTAGCACTGGAGACACCTTCATGTTCCCTCCCTCTCTCTCTCTCCCTCCTTTAATCACTGTTCAGCGTGTTGCTTCCCCTCCTGAGCTGCGGCGCAGATGGCGACGCACACAGACATTAAGAGGGTCAGATGGCTGGTGTTATCGCTCGGTTACTATCGCCACGGGAACCCAGCATGCTCGCAGCAGCCAATCAGAGATTCCCACAAGAATCACGCCGTGTGTGTGTGTGTAGGTGTGTGTGAGGCTGTCAGCGTACCACCTTGTTACCCTTCAGAAAGCCGGAGCTCCTGATCCTTGGAGCGACTCTTCACACGCTCAGGATGAGGCGACGGGTTTTTCTTTATTTGTCTGAATTTCAGAAACGAAACGCCGTCAGTCTGCAGCGTTAATTAATCAGGAACAGATGCAGGTGGAGACGCTTCTCCTGTCGCCAGCGACAAAACGCTTCACTGGTTAAAGCCTCCATCTTCACATTCTGCATGTTTGCACATAGAATTTCACTTTTCAAGTCTTTATGTTGTGATAAAGTTCTATATTCTTCAAAGAAAATGGAACTAAGCATGAAATCAGTGACAGGTTAAACCACAGATTACATCCATTAGCACTAATGGAGGCGTACGGAGCTACATTTCAGCCATAAAGTTTATTTGAAAAAAACAATAATGATAACAAAAAGATTTGAACGTGAAAAAAATGTAAACAAAAAATTTGGAAACTGAGAAATAATTTTAAAAATGAAAAATAAAGTTCAAAACTACTTTTCAGTTTTTAAAGTATTTTTTAAAGTATTTTGGTAAAATGTTTTCATGGCCCTAATTTAGCCCCAGAACATAACGTTTGTTGATAACGTTATGTTATATATATATATACATATATATATATTTAAATTTTAAATCAAAAATTTAATTTTAAAACTGAAAAAAAATATTTAAAACAAAATGTGTTTTTACAATGAAAAATTTTTTAAATAAAATTGAAAATTGATACTGAATAAACAATTTAGAAACTAAAAAAATATTTTGAAACAAAAAAGTAACAAAAACACAAATAACCTGCTTTAGTAGTTTTAAAACCAAATATTTGCATTAATATTCATGAAGCTGTCTTAGCGCTAACGCTAGCTTCAACAGGCTTCCTGTGCTACAGCCAATCAGCATCAAGGAAACCAAATGCTGCTCCTGGATTGGCTATCTTTTAAACACTAGCCATTAGCATGCTAACTAGCATGGCTCTGACCCAAACTGCTTTTTCAGAATATTTTCTGTAGAAAATCGTCGATTCTGTAAATTATCTGAATCATTTGAAATTCCACAGAAACATCAGTGAAAATGTTGGATTTTGTTTTGGACGTTTTCTGATCCATCTCTCCTGACTCTGGCTTTGTTGTAAATGGTGGCTCTGATTGCAGGGATCTTATTTGGTCTGGATAGGGGTCAAAGGTCAGATGGTGTCGATTCATAGAAACTCATCAGGAGAAACTGAAGAGGGATGAAGAGTTAAACCTCCACCAATCAGAGGAACTCATCTTCCTCTCGCTCCATCAGCTCTTCATCTTCCTCTCTCTCATCTCTGACTTCATCTTTTCAGGTTTTTACTCTCCCAGTTTAGCAGAAAGAGGCAAACTGGTTTCACTGGTTTCAGACTGGAGATGATCTGAACTGGGATCAAGATGGTTGGGAGGAACGAGGGAGGAAGGAAAACTGAAGAAAGGAGAGAATAAACTGAGAAGAGAAATGAACAGGAACAGATGAAAAATAAAATGATAAAAGGAGGAATAAAGGAAGGAGAAATGGATGAAATGAAAAAGAATGAAAAGAAAAAATGAGGTGAAAAGATGTTTGAGGAAGAATTCAATGAAAGAGACGGAGGATAAGAGATGGAGGAAAGGAGGAGGAGGAGGAGGAAGATACGGATGGACGGAGACGGAGAAGAGAAAAGTAAGAGATGGGAGGGTCAAGCGAAGGGCAGAGAGAGAGGGAGAGAGGAGGAAGTGTGTCAGCCATGACAGATTTGTATTCCACAGTGAGCGTCTGACCTTAGCAAACTCATCACACACACACACACACACACACACACACACACACACACACACACTCAGAGTTTTTATCTCACACACACAGGAATGCTTTCAGTCGTCTACCTTCGCCCGTCTCTCTCCTCCACACAAATCAACACTCCGGCCGTCGCCGTACCGACGGCCGGCCGACCGCAGGATAAAGGGGGGCGTTACCATGGCGATGACGGCCTCCCTCCCCCCATCAGCAGAGGAGAGACATGAAGACGATTATCATCAAAACCTTCAGAGGACAGAGAGGAGGGAC